GGTGTGTGTACGTGCCAGCCAGCCGGAGGGTGTGAAGACTGATCCATTTGTAGGTGATTGAGTTAGGATGAGCATGTGTGTGTATGTGTGTGCGTCACTGCAAAGGAATAAGAAAAAGAGAGAGAGTGAGGGGGGAGAAAGGAGAAGGTTAAAGAGAACAAGAGGGAGAGGGAATGAGGAGAGAGAGGAATGTTTTTCATTACGTAATCTAATCTAAGTGGCTATTTTTCTTGTATAAAACCTCTGTTGCCCTCAGTGAGCTGCTGAACCGCTGTCCTCATCTGTCTAAAAGCACTGAGTGACTCATGCTGTGGGTCTACGCGTACACACACACACACACACACACACAGACCAAGTCATAGTGAGTCAGCCCAGATCTGCTGCAGACGCTCACCTCAATAATGAATAATGTAATAGGGAAAGGCATATAAACTGCTCAAATGACACGCAAACTCAGTGGACAGTGGACATATGGATGATCCTGATGGACGCACACTCACACGCAGTGACGTCTCCATAGAGCATATGGGAAGCTGGACTTGGGGCAGACGAACAGGTGGATTGTACTTGGACACCTTGAAGGGCAGGTATCCTTTGTCTGACTGCAGAATAGCCAACAGGAGGTCTCCAACTCCAACTAGGTGGTGAAAAGTTTAACCTGTTGTGAAAGCAAAAGTTTTACATTTTTGGCTGATTCATGTTTTGGTGGAGGATTGGATTAGAAAATACATGCCATTTTTTTGCACAGTAAATCCAAAGCCAACAGCTTAGCATGGTACAAAGACAAGAATTAGCAACAAACAAGTAGCCTACACAGTAAAAACAAACAAACAAAAAACCTTCCCTTTTAGTTTACAATTTTTAAAATACACAAAAATATTAGTGGAATAATGTGCGTATATTAACAAGTCTAATGTAAAATAACACTAGAAACTTGTAACTGTTAATAACCACAGAATGTAATTTTTTAAAACAAAAATGTACATTTGTTTTGGTATACAAATGCAAATTTGCAAATTCATAATAATTGGTTGGTTCTGGTTCTGTAATTTTACAAAACTTGATTATTAAGTGAGAGATAGAATAATTGCAGTCATCTTCACAGGCTAGGAACTGTATTTTATTCATGGAAAATTACAATATTTTATGAAATTGTTATTTTACTCTGACCCAGCTGCCAGAATACAAATTTTTACAGTTTTGTTGTTGTTGTTGTTGTTGTTGTTGCTGCTGTTTTTTTTTGTTTTTTTTAAGTGAAAGTCTGCCTGATCATAATCAAATCCATCCCCCTAACCTTTGCAGGTCACTAATAAAGACATTATATCATATTTGTTGAGTTTTGGCACAAACAGAAGTGTGAAGATATTCATTTCAGGTGTCACTGTCTCTACAAACATCCTTCTCACGCATAGCGTTGGCATCCTGCCCTCTATTACTGCCAGGCTTCTCCATTAAAACCAGCCCATCTACCTTGAATCAGTCTCAATCCCCAAAGCGTGCACATATCAGTTTAATCATTCGTCCCTAAACTACCTACAAATCCACCCTGACCTAAAGCCTTGTTACAGAAGAAGCAGCTGACTCTCTTCACACGGACACCAGGAAGAAAGGCTGTGCAAAAGTCTCAAAAGCAGTAGTGATGATTTCCCCTGTAGTTATTCACTGTCAGTGATCTATAACAGTAACTATTAGTCACATTTTCTTAGAAACTTTTTAAGGGCACAAACAAATGAATAATACAGAAAACAGCTATGAAAGTGATATTATACTTCTGCTCCAGTTTCTTTACTCTCATTCTGCTGTCATGTGGCAACAGAGGCATGAGCTGCTGAGGGGCGCTGCAGTGAGGTTAAAGATCCATCATGTGTGCAAGAAGAAAAAGACAACAAAAATCTCAGTGTTCTCACCAATATTTTTTGGAGCAACAAGAAACACATACAAACCAAAAGATATAAATGCACATAAAAATACAACAAAATCAATACATAAATCAAGTCAAATCACCATTTTTTTTAAATACAGCACATTTAACACAACAGTTGCTTTGCCAAAGTGCCTTTAAGTGAAAAAGATTATGACTGGCGTTACAAAATCAACCTAAGAAGTTTAAATGTTGGGGGGATTTAACTGGGATTTGACGTTTCCAGTCATGAGACGGGCTTTAATGTGGAACGGGAGACTGTTTTACAGTGTACATGTTGATTGAAAAAGCCCTGTCGCCTTTGGTTTTCACATGTTAATAAGGGATTGAAGGAAGTAACTGTGAGGAAAACCCATAAGGCCTGGGGGCAGACATCAGAGGCAGCATATCGGGCTTCATAACAATAACATTTTTGAACTAAATTCTGTTTTTAGCTGGAAGCCATTGCAAATGAGCCAGAACCAGGGTGATGTTCTGGCATTTCTTTGTACCAATTTGTAGCCAGGCAGCTGTATTCTGAGCTAAGTGTAGTCAGGTAGGAGATCAGATAAACTTCACTGATCCCTCACTGGGGAAACTCACATGTTACAGCAGCTAAATACAAATCAAGTACAGTAAGAAAGAAGACAAGAACTACAGAAGTACAATAAAGACAAAAATCATGATGTAATGAAGACAGCTATGTACAGACTTTAATATGTACAGATATGGCATGATGGATAATGTAGCCAATTTTACTACACACACAGTGTCTAGATTTTATAGGGAGTGACTGTCCCATTTCTGTTATTGCACATGAAAATTTAAAGCGAGACCCGTGTACATTATGTTATTGCACCTAAAGAGCTGTAAGAGAAAGAGTGTAACATGACGGACTAATGCTACACTATGTCACCTCCATATACAGGGAGTTATAGTAGCCCAGCCTCACACTAATAAATGTACGATCACTGTTTCCATGTCCTTGTAAGCTGAAATCAGCTCGGTGGCCTCTGACAGCACTGCTGACCTGTTTATTTAAACTGAAAGAGGACTCCAGGAAAACACCGAGATTTTTTAATAACATCACTTCCAGAAAGGGCCAACTGCATTGGTATTGCTCTTAGTAGAGCCTAATGGACTAAATGTAACTAATTCAATTTTGTTTTTATTCAGCTGAAGAAATTTGTTGCCATACACCTCATCAAGACAGCTTAAGAGGCTTGTCATTGAACAAAGCGTAGTCAGGTGTAACTGGCAGGTAAAACTGCGTGTCATCAGCAAAACAATGATATGTGACATTATGGCTTTAAAAATGTGACAGATGGACAGCATGTATTCTGAAAATAAGGGACCCTAAGATAGAGCCCTGAGGGATGCCATATTAAAGGAAAGCAGAAGGAGATAAACTTGCTGCTATTCTGACTGAGCTGGTTCCATTTGTCATGTAGGAGGTGAAGCAGTTTAATACTTTACAGGTGTTTCAAAAGGATGGTCGATAGTATCAAACGCTGCACTAAGATGGAGCAAAACTAAAATGGCACGAGGGCTGGGATCAGTAGATGTTATTGTGGGCCTTCAACAGAGTCAACCCGGAGCGAACCCACGCTGCACGGGGGAGAACATGCAAACTCCACGCAGAAAGATTCCGGTGACCCCACCGGGACATGAACCGGCAACTGTCTTGCTGCGAGACGACAGTGCTAACCAACTGCGCCACCTTGTAGCCCACACCTTTACACTATGTAACACTAGAACTGAGTGAAAACTACATACAGTCATGATTGTGGCATGGGCAACTATATGCCTCAGCTGAGGGCCCTCTAGGTAATTATCTAATTATTTAAGTAGTGCTGTTACTCCCTTTTTTGTTTTGACGTTCAAATAAGCAATCTCATTTGGCTGTTTTAGATGATGACATGCAGAAATCCTGCACGATGTTGGTGTATTGCATTCACTTTATTTAATGACAGAGTTTTGGTTGGTAGATCTGTTTTATCAGATGATGTTCTGTCAGCTGAAGTGAGCAAATTGAATAAATATTAGAGCACAAGTGAGCAGGAATTCCAAGGATTAGGATTCCTGTTCACTTACAGAATTTGTGGTTTTACACACTTGTCCTCAAGACTTTTAATGAGTCTGAAGGAGTGCAGTAACACATTTTACTGTTATGACATGCCAGAGTTGGAGCTGTCATGTTTGGAACTGTAACAAATAATACATTTGTAGAGCGATATGAAATGATTGGAGTTTGATGGGATACAAATACAGATATTTTGTTAAATATATGCATGGTATATTGGTGAAAAGTTCTTTAAAATTAGTGAGTTTTTAAAATGCACTATTGTGAATGTTAACTTTCTATAAGAACTGCATATTAAAGTCTTGGTATTGAGTGATGGTTAAAGTTGAATTTTAAGGTAGGAGGATTTTAAATTGAAATGCAGGACAGAAAAATAACAAAAAGGAGACATTTTGTGTTTAAGTTAACCTTGCTTATTCCTGCTTTCATGGTAATCATCAGAAATGATTACAGAAAGCCAAACCTGCCTTCACAGCCTTCATTGTGAAGATTTATTAACTCCTACTACAGCACAAAGTTGATTAAATCTGGGAAAATTGAGTCCACTGTAACGTTGATTAGAGCTGGGAAACGTGAGACTATGAAGTGCATCAAACTGAATGAGCCCCTGCAGAGAAACTCCTGCCAATAAGTGAGAGCTGTCATCATCACAACAGGACGCACTGATCCAAGAGGTGTGAGAAGACGCTGCGCCATAACAATAGTTTACTATAATGTCTTCGATAAAACATTTGCAGTCTTTATCCAGCAGAAGTTACCGTGTATATCTCAGACAGCGCTTGAATGTCTGGAAAAATTTAGAATATTTTTCTCCAAACAAACAGCTACGATGCCTTGGAAACAATCTTTTTTTTCCGGTAATACCCGACTCATCACCTTGGCTCGTCTCCAGCCAATGCGGGACAGAAAGGAGTGGCATGGATCCAGAGCAGGGGAGGAGAGGCGCTGCACTGTGTCTTTAAGCTCCAGTGAAATCCATCAGGGGGAGTCGCAGCCTGCAGTATCATTGTGTTTGTGCGTCTCATTACGTTAGAGGGACCTGTTCTGTGTTATTATAGGGTGGATGGGATCTGCTGTTTTCAAGACCAGGATGGTTATTTCTGCGCCTGAAACGCATGGAGTGGAGTGAAAGCCTTCCAAACCGCCTAAAAATGAGGTGTCACTGGGTTGTGTTTGCCTCGTATTTTATTCTGCTGCCACTAACAGGTAAGAAAACCACTTGTGATATTGTTTAACTCATGTGTGCTCTACTTTATTGTGACCTTTTCTTGATGTTTATATCTCAGTTGGTTTAAAATAATTACAGGGTATGTAATTGTTTAAAGCAGGAATTTAAAGCCTAATGACAGTGTTGTACTTTGTGAGTTTATAACCTCTAGAAAACGTATTTACGCATTATTTTCCCACTTTATTTCGGGGTCTCTGCCCTTTTTAAGCTGCATGAAGTGTTGTTTAGTCTCCCACTTGTGCCCCTATAGTCTGCTGCTGTCACTATATAAGGTTTTCTCTTTCATTTTTGACACCGAGACAAACAGGATGCGCCTTTTTACGCACGGTTAAAGCTACTTCTTAACCATGTTTTTTTTTTTTTTTAGTGTCCACACTGTTTCTGGACACGTGGTGAACGTTTACTTAAAGTATGGTGTCCAACGGTACAGCGTTTCCAACCTGTCCGTTCAAGACTACAGATCATATCCGGGCTCGTTTGCATATCTACAGTTTGGTGGTGCGCAGGGAGATGCCTTTGCGTTGCCTTTCTCGGCAGGCAACAAGTGTGTGTGTGTGTGTGTGTGTGTGTGTGTGTGTGTGTGTGTCTGTGCGTATGTGTGTGTGTGTTTTGTTTGTACACGATTAATTATTTATCCTACCGAAATGAAGGGGATTAGGTTGTGCGTCCTTCCGCGGCAGCAGAAGGAACAAAGAGGAAAAGATACACATCTTTTCACAGAAACGCGCCCTGCAGCACATTGACATCTAACATCTCTCCGCGTTGTGATGAAAGCTCCGTGTTTAGTCATATTACAGCCTCAGGTTGTATGTGAAACCTTTTGCTTATTTAAATGACACTCAGTATCAACTGCCAAAGCTTAATCTTACAAATATCAGGTATGAAACATATTCTCACAGCCCGCACAAACGCAGATATTGATGTTTTGGAAGGGGAGCATCCACATTCCTCATGTTCTGAGCTCCACATGAGCCTGGAGGCATAACAGTCACATGAAATTCTGCTCTTGAAATGGCGCCTTATCATGTGAAAAACTGCAACAACAAAAAAACAGAAACCCTGGGGGGGAGCTGGCTGTTGGGGTTAGGCTTGAACTAAAATGTTGGTTTAGTTTACTCATCCTAAGAGAATGGATTTAGGGGCCCTTAATGCATGATTACTCAGCGGCTGGACAGCTCATAATTATTGATTGTTCAATTGAGCGGTGGTGGTTTGATAGCACTCTCTCGAGGGGCTCTGCGCCAATCATAACATCCTATTTAACCATCACCTTAGGCTCTCTAATCTATTTGGTTCTGAAATTTCAAGGGTTCTCAAGCAAAACTACAGTTACTACAGTTGATCAGTTTGAGGAAGTGATTGATTTGGTTTCCTTATGTGCTAATATATTAAGGTTTGGGTGAGTGTTGTTCAGCCAGAAACAAGGCAATTTGATAGAATTGACTTGGATTTGTAGATTTTTTAAATTTTATTTTGACATTTCGTAAACTTACATTTCTTTAACAGTCTTTAGTTGCAGACTTACGTCTCCACTGTGTTTCATTTTTGCTGGTTGCATTGATTTTTATCTGTCTGTACAACTCTCAATAAAAGCAGCATTATTTCTTCCCTCAGGTCTCAATATTTAGGCAAATAAAACTCATCGCAGCTTTCAAAAGACAGCACCCAGGTGAACAGTACATCATAAACTGCATGTCTGTCCTCTGTTCCAGTGTGGTGTGAGCCAGTCATCTCCCCTAGTGGGCCTCATGTTGTGGTTCCCAAGAGGGGAAAGCTGGAGCTGCGCTGCCACGACAATACCACAACATCTGGCACCCCATGGGGGTTGAGATGGCAAAGGGAGAAGGCTCGCAGGATCGAGGGAGAGGTGGAGGAGGGCGGAGTGGCTTATGTCAGGGTGCCGGTGGTGCATGCCTACCACATGGGCCGTTACGTATGTGTCAACAATGGCACAATGGAACACAGTTCCATCTACGTCTATGTGAAAGGTGGGTGTTCGAGGTGGTGGAAGAAGCTTGCATTGAAATAACATCCTATTAACCGAAATGTTGTTCTTTCTGTGTTCTCCTAAGACCCCCAGAATGCTTTTCAGCGGACCATGGTGAACAGCATTCTGGTGCGAACTGGTGAGAACTGCACCATCCCCTGTCTTGTGACAGACCCTGAGGTCTCCCTCTTGGCTTTGGAGACCTGCGATGGACGACCTATGCCCTCTGGTATGAGATATACTGGCAACCCCCAGAGAGGCGTCATCATCAACAGCGCTAGAAAGGAATACGAGGGCTGTTACGTATGCGTGGGGCAGCTCAGTGGAGTCAGAGTGATGTCCAGCCAATACACTGTGGATGTGCGACTTTGTAAGTAGGAGATATGGTGACCAAGGAAGATAGTTCATGCAAGTTAAAGAGTGTCATACTGGTGTTTCATGTAGCATAGCTTCACTAGATTTTTCTCATGGGTGTTAACGAAACTAAAAGGGGAGGAAGGAAGAGAAAATGCTCTACAGCATGTTTAGCCATTGACAGTAAAGATGTCATCACAATAGATTTACAAAGTAACTTGCAAGGTATTGTTAAAGTAATCCCAATTGAAAACAACATTTTTTAGCTATACAACACAAATCCAAATAAAATAAATATATTCATTGGAAAGTAAAACCTGAGTCTTTGTCTTTGCTGGAAACCATAATGGAATGCCATTAGTTGTGAGAGTATTTGGCAAGATGAAAAGTGTTATTACAATCTGCCCTGTAGGGTGAATGAATGTTTGCACTTCCATTGCAATAAATCCAATATTTGTCGAGACATTTCTCTAAAAACCACCAATGCCAATGTCATGCTGGCACTGTTGGAAAAGCCACCAAAGTCATTAGATTTACTCTCCTGGCACCACCAAGTTTCATGGCATTGTCATATAAAGGCCTTCATTCAGTAATCGTGTGTTTTGGCCAATGAGGGTTACACTACTCTTATGAGTTATGTGCGTAATAATACCATAAAATGTACCATAAAGGCTATTTAAATTGATGTGAGTGGAAAATGATTGTGCGTCTGTCCACTGCACTGGATCAGCATTTTCAGTCTGGGCTGTTGTGGGAGCCTAAATGGAGACAAGCTAAGGGGAGTTATGGTGTGGTGTCCTTTTGACTGATGGAGACAAGGAGAGGAGACGTGAGGGAGGGAGGAGCCGAGGGATTTGAGTCCCACACAGCTTTGTAACGGAGCATGAAGGCTGGGTTTGGGCTAAATAGAATTACTGCAGCACAAACACAGCAACCGAAGTGACGTCTGCAGGCATTTGTTGGATATTAATCATGCAGTTTATGTGTGCACAACTGTCTGAGTACGCTCATATGTGCACAGTGTAAATATGCATTAGTGTGTTTGTGCAGCAACTGCTTACTGATGAAAGAACCGTGTCCTATTGTGGCGTAAAAATAAGATAAAGACATAAATATAGTTTTGTGATTTAGATGTTCAACATATATTCTGATCCAGAGTGAATACAAAAAAACAACATGGTCTCAGGCACATAATGTGTGTTGGTTTAGATGACCTCACTCAATGCACCAGCTACGTTAACGTTGCTTTTCATTCTTTGATTCAGTGCCAGAGCTGCGTCCAGTGATCACACTGTCCCAAAAAGACACTGTCATCCTGAGGAAAGGAGAGCAGTTTGAGCTTACTTGTAGCTCCTCCAATGTCAACCCGGACTTCAGTCTCAAGTGGGATTTCCCTCCGACAGCGGTGAGATTAATGAAGGGATTTATTAGCTGCGTTTTATGCCTGGGTGGTTGGCTGTTTAGATGTCAAACAGTCTGATATGCTTTTTTCCCTTTTTTTTTTTTTTTTAAAGGAAATCCACTACTGCCAAGTAAAGATACAGAAAATGTTTCGATTTTTTTTTTTTTAGAGCTATAATAACCATAGAGAACACAGATGTCATACTATGAGTAACATGTGAAAAATGTTGTGTAAATGACACAAAAAGGAGTTTAGCCTAACAAATTACACATGTTGGCTGATATCTTGTACAGTTTGGAGATCTGTGGGGTTTCACACCCGGTAATATTGCACCCTTCATCTTTGTAGCATCCTGATGAAAGCCAGACATCACACATCCTGTCCGGTTCTCGTGGTTATCAGCGTGCCATCTCACTCTTGATCGCAGCTGTCAACCAGTCGGACTCGGGCACTTACCGCTGCGCCGCCTACAACGAGAGAGGTATCAGTATTGAAATGCTGCAGCTGGATATCTACGGTAAGTGTTAAAGTTGGTTTACATGCATACATGTAACAGCCTTTACAGTGAATAGACAATCAGACCTCTATACCAGACAAGAAATGCTGAGTCCATCTTTCTACAGACAAAAACCTTCTGGGATGTAAACATATCTTTTTAGATGTACTTTCAGCAGCTCCCTCTGACGTCTTTCCTTAAACCACAAACATGCTGAGCTAGTTGAAAGTCACTCTAATATGAACAACAAAGATGCATGGACATAAAATGAACAAAGAGATAATAAATGAATACCTAAGAGCTCATGATTGAGCTTGTTTTTTTTTTTTAGCACAGATAATACAGATACGCACCAACAATGCCTGGGCTCTTCTACACTGCCAATACCAAGCATCCGTCACAATGTAATGGGAACGTTCACTGCAAGTGTAAAAAAACAACACTCAGCTAAAACTTAACCACTAACACCAGTGTTCACACCCATAACTATATTTTTGGAGAAGTTGCAAACTCTCATTTGCATAATATGCAAATTGAAAAGTCAGTGTCTCCAGGAGACAGCTGTCATTGTTAAAAAATGAACAGTTATCTAAAAGTAATGATTTAAATTTTAAATAGCGAATAAATAAAAGTTATGATTATATATATATATATTATGAC